TTTATAGTTTTTTCTTTATTAATATATTGAATAAAATATTCATATAATCTCTTCCACAGTTACAGCAGGACAGTATTACGTTGTAATCGTTGTTTGTTGCTGAGCTCTCGTAGTTCGTTTCGTTTGCCGTTAGTTTTGCTGACGATGTGTAAATTGTCTTTCAATCCACATTGATCGGCATAACTTTTTAGATATAAAAATTAATTGTTTTAATTAATTGTTTGTTGGAATGAGAGCCGGAGGTGATAGAAATAAAACATAGAAAAATGCTTGATATAACATCATAATGTAAGTAAGCCAAATACAATTAACAGTAGCGGTGGTGATAGATTCGAGAGAATTGTAAAAAATATATAATGAAATTGTACATATTGACTATTATATATATATTACACAGAATACCTTGTTTAATTTCAACATACATTAATAAATAAATGTAACTAACAGAAGGAATAATGAATGTAAGCGGTATTGTATACCATGTTACTTTAACCTGACTGAATTTTCGTAACTTATAATTCGATGATAATAACAGATAACGGTCGACACAAGATAAAATTAGCAATGATACTGTTATTAATCGCATAACATAAAAAAAATATATGTAAAATTTAGAGAAATCATTTGCATTAAATAAATTTACATTATAAATACGAAAACAAACTTGACAATCGAGACCTCTCAGTCTAAAATGTGAAACTCTTCCTACAATGATTTTTAGAAGTTGAAATTACACATATCATCAGGTACCGAATGGGGTAAACGTACAATATAATGGTACAATACAACGTACAATATAACAATATAATGGTACAACTGCAAATTAACAAATGCTAGACTACTAGGTAAAGGTAAAGTTGTCATTCCTTTTTTTCAGATAATACTGCCTTATATAAATCAATCTAACAAATCAATCTGTTGTTCGTCGAGAACTTTGCTCTACGTGCTAAAGAATGTTCCATTTTCTAATTGATAAACTGCTGACATAATGGTCCCGAGTCCGATACATTAGATGATAAGTTTGCTTTGTCAATTTGCCGTATTAAATATTTAATTCGATTATATAAAGAGTGGCGGCAGGTTGATAGCGATATCAATAGAGATAAACATCATATTGCTCCAACTGAATTTGAAACTGCTTGCCGAAACGCTAAACAGAACTGTATTCAGAAAATAAGCTCTTCACCAAATGTTTCTACGAGAGCGTGGTGGACTGCTGTATTTAAAACAGTTCATAAAATAAAATGTCTTATATTCCTCCTCTGAAGGACATGCTCAGGCACTTTGGTCACACATAGACTTGATAAAGCGAACCTATTAAATAATTATTTCTCGTCCGTGTGTACGTTAGATGATAAAGAAAGGGATGTTAACATAACACAAAAAATACCTATCTCGACCAAGAAACTAAGTAGAATAAACATAATAAACCCAGAGAGTAAAGCAGTAATAAATAAACGAGAATATAAGAAATATAACACTGCTATGAAAATCATTTTGAACAAAAACTTTTAGTCAGCCTGAAGATGATGTTAGAAAGACATCGAAAGCTCGCTAACGAATAAAAGTTTTTGTTCAAAATGATTTTCATAGCAGTGTTATATTTCTTATATTCTAGAATAAACATTTCTTTCTGCATGCATGTTCTCGACGAACAACAGATTGATTTGTTAGATTGATTTATATAAATGCATTATGCATGAATAAGCGAAATGATTCAATGGCATCGACTCTTTCTTTCTGTTCTCAAAAGAAAAGACGCATTAGTATACGAATTGTAGAAAAGCCACAAAAAGGAAAAAGAAACTTCGCCCTAAATAATTATAATAGATTCGTGACAAAAACATATAAGCATTTGTCCTCCATTTTATGGCGATCATACAATTATGAAAAGCACTCACGTATGATAATGCATTTGACAGGATATTTATTTGATTATATTGACATTACATGATAGAACACGATTAAAATCATCGAATGTCCTCGTTCAACATTCATCTTTGCGCTAAACATTATTCGTCTAATCCTGGAAAAGCACCTATGTGTAAACAAGCTTGTGTAGTGACGTTGTCGAAAGAGAAAATGTCTTACGTGTACTTGTACGTTGATCATTTTAGAATAGATTCTGTAAGGTGCACATATTGGGATGTCTTCTACGTGATAAGCTTTGTTTATATTAGGTTCTCATTCTGAAAATGTCAAAGCGGCATTCTCGTCATCACCACTATCGACAACAACAACGAAAAGTCAAATTCGAGCTTGCGAACGCATTTAAGAAGTTGTTGCAGCAGTTGTAAAAGTGGTGAAAGTAATTGTGTCAGCGGTGGTAGATCTGAGATTAAAAGCACTTCGTCTGTACAACAAAGACATAAATGAAGTAAAAACCTTTGGAAGTTAGTAATTAGAATGGATTCGGTTGATTTTTAACCTGCTCAAAACGCTTGATCGCCAAAGCTTGACGAATGAACCGTGCTTCAGCAAAATTGGAACTTATTCTCATCGCGTAATAACCCATCTGTGTAGCTCGCCATATTTAGAGAGCTTGGTAATTGTTGTAGAGCTGATTGTCGATTGGCTCGGCTATAGTTTATTTTGAACAACGTTAATTGTTAAGTTTATTTTGAACAGTTATTGAAGTTGTCAGAGTACAATTAGAGACGGTTGCTTGTGAAAACCTAAGAGAATGCTTTACAATGTTTCAGCGCCTACTATTTCGGCATGGACTGTCATTTCACATAACCTCTCTAATATTTCGTGAAAAAATGTAAACCCTGTATGTATAAAACAGAGGCACTATATAATTTCGCGGACGTATTACATATTCCACTCTCTCACACGTTAAGGATATATGAAGAGCATTCATATTGAATGCATCAAAAGCGCTTTTTACCCAAAGAAATTCTAGCTCGAGAGGACGTTAGAGTTTGACTATCAAATGTCATTCGTACACACAAAAAATGATATGTCGCAAAAATGCGTCGCAGAAGAATGCGAAAAAATTCTAGCTCCTTTCTCGAAGACTGCTTGGGAGATGATGAACTTCGAGGGATCCCTTCGATCTTTTGGTTAATCACAAAACTAATTACGTTTCATATCAAATCAAACTGGTAACATTTTCTTGAAACTATGGAAGATACAGGTCAAAAAGCGTCTTTCTGTCCGAGTAATCATCTACTTAGCTGAAAGCTCGTAAAATCAGCGAATTGAGAAAACGAGAGTCGCGCGGTCAACTTTTCTTATTTTTTTCAGCATTGATAGATAAAGACCATTTCCCAGAGATTGAGTGTACTTTTGCAGGAATGATATAGTGGCTCTGTGACTAGCTTATTATTCCTGAGGGCAATTCGCAAAAGCGCTCCTATTTAGACATTTGAAGGCTTTCTCGATTTTATATGAATGGGAGTGATCTGATCGTTCCCATTCAAATGAATGTTTGAAAAGTAACTGTCCGATAAAAAGCTTGGATATCTTCGTCAGCCGCTAGCATGAGAAAATATTCTAGAACTTTAGGGTAGTTTTGGTTTAAGATCTGCCCCCTTCCCCCAGGTTAGAAATGCTGCTTTTCGTCCAAAATATCGATTTTGAGAAAAGCACATGGTTGATTATGCAAAAAAAATTAAGTTTTACCTTTTTCTCATTGCTCTATTTCTTTTTTGTCTGATGATGGTTTGACGGCCTCATGCTATCATCTTTAAAAGCTTCACTTAGTCCAGATCAACCATAATCTAGCTTTATCTGTGGTTCCTTCCTATAGTTCACCTTTTAAGGTTTTTCGATTCAGTTATATAGTTTTCTTACGCTTTCTTTTGTAACAAAAATGTGTCGTTTTTGATTATTTACACAAAATACTGCGACCTTGGTTTCCGTTGTCCTTCAAAAATTTTATTATCTTTTTATCAAANAGGGGATTTTTTTCAAGTGATTATGCAAAAAAAATGAAGTTTTACCTTTTTCTCATTCCTCTATTTCTTTTTTGTCTGATGATGGTTCGATTTTATTATTTCTAAAATCTCAAAAGTATAAATAGTCCGCAATTAAATGCTCTCCTTGAGCAATATGATACTATCACCTGCATGAATAAAACACTTAAATCAACAATGACTCACCTGAAACAATAACTCAATTAATTTTAACCAGAACTCATTCTTATTGCAATGAAATATCTGCACATTATCAAAAATATGTACCATTAATCACAGACAACAACAATCACTTCTAGATGAATGCTAAATAAACGAACATGTTCAAAGCAAATACGAACGTTGACACGAGCCGACTTGTTTCGTTTTCTCTTTTAAGCGTAAAAATTGCGTTAATTATATATAGAAGCTATGCCATATGATTGCGGACATCAAAATGTTTTCCTAATTAGATAATGAACGGAAGAACTTAAAAGCGTCTTTACCGAACAACAGAGCCTCATGCTATCATCTTTAAAAGCTTCACTTAGTCCAGATCAACCCCGCTTTATTCAACTTTCTTTCTAATAGCTTCTTTAACTTTAGCCGTTAAATGTCCTGCGGCTCATTCAATAGCTATTTGATCAATGGCATTGCTCATGATCATCCATAAAACTCTATGTGTGAACGCTTCTTTCACTTTTGAACCTCGAAGATACGGGATATATGAATAGAATCGTTGTACAAATCATTCATTAGCTATGTGGTTAATCCAACTATTCATGATGCTTTTCTCATGTATATGTAATTGATGGCACCGATTTCAAATATGAACATCGAAGTTGCTCTTAGGCTTTCGTTGACTAGGTTTCTGCAAACTGTGTCTTCAGAAAACCATGAACTAAATCCACAAAACTTTTCTGGATCAGCCATTTTGTAGAGGACACAAAACTGTCTATATTCCATAAGTTTTAAATTTTTCAAACTAGTATTGAACGGTGCTATAATTTTTTTGGTTGTAGACTGAAGGCGTTTCGGTCGAATTTTCTTCACCTGGAGGTTCATTAAAATGCTTTCACTTTGTTTTTAGGCCCTAACTGAATGATGGACGTTGAGATTTATTTGAATCAGGGTCGTCAGTATGCCAAGGACGGACAATATAAAACGGCTATTGAGCAATATGATCGAATTATTAATAGTCAATCTGTTGAACCATCGACAAAAATTGATGCACTCTACTATCGTGGATGTGCAAGGATCAAGTGTGGCCAATACGAACAAGCGATAAAAGATTTTGATTCAACTATTGAAGGAAGCTCATCTTCGGTGAAACATATTGATGCTTTTTATAAACGAGCTTACGTTAAACATTTGACCGGACAGTATGATATGGCAATTAGAGACTATCAGTCGTTTGTCGCTCAATGTAGTGATGAGTCGATACCGAAAGGTCAGTTCAGTATGGGCTGCACGTATTTATATTTGAATGAAAATGAACATGCAGTAGATTGTTTTTATCAAGCTATTAAAAACGAGTCTAATCAGCCACTCTATTATCTGTATCGTGGTCGTGCCTATGCCTGTCTCGGGCAAATCCAAGAAGCTGTGCAAGATCTTGAGCACGTTTGCTCTCACAGTACTGACTCTTATTTAATCGGTTTAGCTCAAAATGAACTTGGTAAACACGTCGAAGCAATTGAATCGTACAATAAAGCTCTCAGTCAGTATCCGCATAATTCTGATGCTCTATTTCGCCGTGGTCTATCACATGCATGTTTGAATGATCATGAAAAAGCCATAGAAGACTATCTGAAAGCGGTTAATGAATATGATAGACAAGATCGAATTTATTTTCGTCTTGGCATATCGAACTTTACTTGCAATAAATATCAGGAAGCAATGACAAACTTTAATCAATCCCTGAAACTAGCCTCTTATCATCCAGATGTTTACTACGCACGGGGTATATTACATTATAAACTCGGTCGACATGACGCATCTATTCATGATCAACGAAAAGCGTTTCAGCTTGGCGGCGGATCGCAGTATTACACACAACAGCTAAACGATGTAATGAAAACTTATAACGATGATAAGAAAAATTATAAGATTTGCATTCGTGTCGGAGAATGTCTAGAACAAGTGGCGCCCTATACGAAAGAACCGGATGTAACTCATGACGAAGCTAAAGACTATTATCAGAAGGCCAAGAAGCTAGACCCAGCTCAACCAAACGCTGCTGTTCGATTAGCCATCAACGACTTTCAAACAATTGATGCTTGGAATCGAGACTCAATACAACAGTATCCGAATCCCAACGATATCCCACCTAAAACTGTTGACGACTATGTTAACAGACAATTGAGAGCGCTTGAAAATTTAGCCGAAGCTTTCCAAGGCGATATAAATAAACTATCGGATTATTTTACTCGTGAAGTGCAGAAATTAACCAGTCTCCAACGTGCATTAAACAAGCGTGAAGCTTTTCAGCTTGAAATCTCACAAAATTTACAACGTAAAGCAGACCTGATACAGGGAACACTAGAGGAGTTTAAAGGATCAGAGGAACAACAGCAGTTTTATAAAACTTTGTTTCTTAACATTTGCAACTTATTTGATGGATCTCGGCTTGTTTCCTCAGGTATGGTGGATCATTCTCTAACTGGTTCGCTTAGTACGGCTGCAACAGGCGTTAAGTATGGGTCTAAAATATTACAAAAAATCGTTGAACAGTTTACACCATTACCAGGTGGTGCGGCTGTTGAAACGGTTGTAGGCGGCGTTGTTTCGGGCTTAGAAAAATGGGATGCTACACGAATTACAAATGCCTTACGTGTCATTGGAAAATTAGACACTCAGGCGAAAATGAATGAGGCAGCAAATTATATGGCACGTCAGTTGGCAATTATTTATAAATATCAACTAGAACGATTTAAACCATCACCCGAAAGAAAAGACAGCGTTAAATCCTTGCCAGAGGTCCGACATGTAAAATCGAAGTGTTGTTCATGTGCGGAAGATACAATAAACAAAGCACTAAATAAACCGACTGTAACAGTAATACAGATGCTTGCGGAATATGCCACAGCTCTTATCTTAGATACAATAAAAACATTCGACGTTACATTGAAGCCCGAAGAACAGGGATGCTGTGCCAACGGATTTTGTGGATTTTGTCGAAAAGGAACGGCAAAATCGAATAAAGTTCGTCCGCGGGCAAGAGCTGCTACCATCATACCACTGACAATGGAATTTCTAAATGAAAAATTAATTGATTGTGTTTGTAATCCAGGCGATAAACCTGTATTGTCTAAGTTGCTTGGTACACTAGGGATAGATAAAATAAAATTGACGACTACAGTGCTACCATCATCTGATGAAAATGCTCTTGAAACATCGCTACAGCGACCAGAACAACCAAAGAAAAAAGCATGGCATTTACATGAATTTTACCAGAAACCAGGTATTGAATTACGTACGACGGTTTCAGTTAAAGCAATACCAGTGGGTAATAAGCAGAAATATGTTGGAGATTGGATGGATACTAAAAATTATTATTATCGTCTGGCAACATTGTCAGAGCAGGAAAGATTAACTGACCCAAACTTTGATCCGAAAGAACTTGGATTAGAAAAGGAAACAACATCCGAAATAGAATGATGTTATTGTTGGATGGTTCTTTCTACCTTTTTTATGTAGGCCTGTAGTGGCATATTCTTTTTCTACTCTTTACAGACAAATAAAAATCTCGAAGAAATGGTAGCTTCTTGAGCTCTCTCAAACAACGAAATTTCGTTAGTGATGCTGTAAAAGCCAACATACTTAGTATCAGAGAAGGAAGAGAGCCCTTTCCAAACGCAATATACTGGTTCAAAGTTCCAGCTTCCTTGGGGTATCCATAGATAACGGACAGAAGTTCGTATGTAATATCCTTGTACTTGTCAAGTCTCATCGACAAATGGAAGAGAACGAAAATGAATTTTTCTTTTTTCTATAAATAGGATTCTGTATGCTCTCAGCTTGCAACGAAAGGAAGGAGACCACCTGGGAATATAAATGAAGGTTTCGGTCACAAGGTTCTTATAAAACACAATTGGCAAGACAAAAGAACGACATTTTTTTTATCCATTTCGTGTCGTCATTGCGATATACCAAAATTGAAGTATTAATACCTGAATACTCTTTAAAATAAAATTCATCAACATGCTTTTCTTTTCTGTTGTATTATATGATAGATCAAATTGTTGTTAGAAGTGTTTCTGAATTGTTAGAAGAAAAGTAGATGAAAATAAGTCTGTTCTTATTACCGTAGATTTTTCAATTTACTTTTTAATCGATAAACTGATCTTGCTAATGTACCAAGCATAGCTTGGAGTCTATCGTTCACATTGTAAAGAAGATCAGTTTTAGCGCTTCGGGGAAAAGCCTTGCCACGTCTGAACCACGCATTTTGGAGATGCCGCTTCGATCCAGTTTTGTAGCGGGCACTCTGAGTTATCTATCCATCGAGAAAAATCGGCAAATTCCTATGACAGTCTTGAAAACCAAGACCTAGTTTTACAGGGATCCTCTGGACACTTCTTTAACAATTTGATCTATCATATAATACAACAGAAAAGAAAAGCGTGTTGATGAATTTTATTTTTTTTAAAGAGTATTCAGGTATTAATACTTCAATTTTGGTATATCGCAATGACCACACGCAATTCGCAATTAATTTATTCTCAGTATTAAAAGACATATACGGCTTGTAAAAAAATTGAGTTTAAATTTTAAAAAAAGTTTAATTTCAATTTTCTGACCTAGAAATTTTGTCTAAAAAATATAAAACGTACACCAGGTGATAAACAATTAAATTCTCTACAAAATGGCTCATTTTGTTTTAGCAGTGAATTTTTCGCCGAGCACCAGGCTTCCCAGAGACTTCGAGGTTTCGGGCTATTTTCCATTTTCCGTTTGAGTTTAGAGTGCCAGTTCTCCCGTAAATCGTGAGTTTCTAGCAAGAGCACTTGTAAAGATAAAAATAAAGTTCTTTTGGCCGTGCTGAGTACCAGGGGCTGCTCTCCCAAAGAAGAGTGTCACAGTGTCACGAAAAATGTCATCCCGTCACGGTATTAAAATAACGTTTCTGCAATCCACGAAGATCCTGGAATGAAAATTTTTTTAGACCGTTCTTTCCTCGACATAGCCGTAAAAAATAAAAATAAAAATTTTCACCGGTGATATTTCCCTGAAAATTTTCAAAAATCCCTCATATATCAAAAAAGGGCCTTTTTTTGTCACAACGTCACGCTCTGGAAATTTGCTATAAAACTGCTAAACTCAACTGAAATTTTCTCCTTTTTTTACTGGAGATAAAAGCCGTTGAACTGCGTCGAATGGCGCTTGAGCGAACTCACTATCTTTAATAGTTTCTCAGATAAGAGCAATTTTTAGTGTGTCAAAGATGTCACAGCGGCACGCTTGGACAAGCCGATATAGTAGTAATAATTGATCTTCTATCTTTTCATGTTTAGAAATTCATCATCTTGCTCTTCAGTTTATGGCACTCTTCTCGGATTTCTTTTGTTAAAAACATATTGTGACTTTAAACTTAATATCACAGACGCTGTCGTATTCTAATTATAATGAGTGGATAACACATGAAGAATGATTTTTCGTAAATTCTGTTGAAAGACGTGTTTTCCCATATAATGGTCGGGAAAGTTATATATGTATTTTCGGTAATACAACCATCGAAATATAATGTCATAGAGTATTTTAAGTTTAAGCAAAACGTTCAGTTCTCATAGTTCTAAACTAAAACGTAAGGAAAGGTAAAAGTTCAAACGAATTGCTTGTTAGAGTGAATGACAGCTTTATTCGAATGTGGAGTGCACCTAAGACTATGCTAAACTTCAACAATGTATAAGACGTTTTGTTATTAATTTTCGAGATTACTTAGATGATTGTGGCTGTAGGAACTTTCAACAAAAAACACTATGTTTTTTTGTTTCGCTTCTTTGCTCTCTTAACCTGTAATCTATTGAATACATATGCTTCATCAAAAATTGACTAAACGTGATGCTCGTTTGGTTCTGTTTGCACGCCCATCGAATCTTCAAATAACAGTTCAAGATGCTCAATGGGTTTCAAAATCGCTACAAAATGTTACTGGCTATCCTCCTGATCTATCCGATTTATCCTCGGTTGAATGATGTGTTGAACGGCACATGAAACAGAAGCGTGATCAAACTGCGTTAATTAATAAGGCCGATGTGATGGCATTTCCGCATAAAATCACCCGTGGTAGCTCTAAAATGGAAATGATCATTTTTATTTACCAAAACTAACAATTCACGCATTATGAATGATCCTTTGCTGGCTCATCGTTTATGACAAGTACTATGTACGAATAACAAATATAACAAACAATTAAACAAAGAAACTTGTAACCCATTGAATGTATATGCTTCATCGAAAATTGCAGATATATATTTCATAATTGAACTAAAACGTCGTGGTTACAAAGCCTATTGACTTCATCCTGATGGTGTCAATACTGGTCTCTAGCGACATATACCACCACTTAAAATATTATTCACACCACTAACATTGCTGGTATTCACGATGCCAATGGACGGTGCACAAAAACATCTTTATTGTGCTCTGCCGGATCAAGCGCAATCTGGAAGATATCATTCAGATTGTCGGCCAGCTCAGCTAGGTAATTTGTATGCCGGTGATGAGGACAGAGGAAGATAATGGTGAATTATTTATCTAATCATTGGATCATTAGTAGCTCTTTTTGTTCATACCATTCTGTATCATGGGAAAGATATTCTTCAACAATTTCATACAATACATCATAAACGGTGAGAGAATGATATCCACTGCACACTAATGGCTAAATATCCAGAAGCCTCCGAGTGGTGGTACGCGCTTGTATTCATCGTTTCATCCATTATTTCTGCTGCTATTTGTCACTATGGTCAATTAATGCCATGGTATTATCTCTTTTTAGTCATTTCTGTCACATTCGTTTGTTTATTACCCATCGGCATTATGCACGGAACAACAGCGCTTCGATTTGACGTCTACATAATGATGGAGACTTTTGCCGGTGCGATTCTGAATCATGCAGTACCAATTTTCACATTTTGGCTTTATAGCTATCAACTACAACTGGTAACATTGTCTCTCATTAGTAACTTAAAATTTGGGCATTATATGAAGATTTCACCTCGTTCACTGTTCATCGCTCAACTTCTCGTCACAATTATAACCTCTCTAATTCAATCGGGAGTGAACCATTTTGTGATAGCATCTGTTCATGGTATTTGTATTAGTAATTCAGATTGGTCGTGTCATATCGATTATGGACCTGTCCTTCTGGGAGCAGTTGGTAAGTGGTTTAAAACGTACTTGATTCTTTCTCTTATACGTCTTGTTTTGTTAAAGGGCCTCGAAAATGATTGGTCCAGAGTCAGTTACAAGTAAGCTCCTTTCTCTAATCGCTAACAGTGGCATATTGCCATTCTGTTTTGGATCCTTAGCAAAAAATATACATACACCAAATGATTGCGTTATGTGCACGTACCAATCATATTTGGTATCACAAACTTTACAGATATAGTTGGCGTAATACCGTCGTGGCTTATTATTGGCTTTCTGTTTACTATGGTGATAAGAAAATGGTGGTGGGAACGCTATGCTCTTCTGTTTTCAATCGCAATGGATGTCAGAGTTCAAATTTGTTCATTTGTCATATTTTTTGCTTTTAACAATCGAAATGTTTTTTTTCCACAATGGTAGGACAATAAGGGAAACCAGATTCTAAATTCCCACTATCCGTTATCGGTTGCATTCTATAAGGGAATACTCCCTCCTGAGTTATAATTAGTGCCTAATCGATAACCGCGAAGTCGAATAATTCAAAACGGACGCTGTTTGTATATGACTCGGATTGTATAAGCAAAATCGAAAACTTGTTTCGATCTAACCATTCGTGGCACTCCTACGTTAGCTAATAGTGTTCATATGTCCAGTTGTTGAACGGAGTGGTCATAGTTTTCTTGAATTTTTTGTTGATACATCCGTATAACCCAAATGTAAACCCAAATCCAGCGAACTATTCGCAAGTGTAAACTAGCTAATTGGAATGCGATTAAGGGCCCCCCCTCCTCAGAAATTATCTCCTACACCGTGCATCCGATCTTGACGAAACTTTTCATAAATGTTCGGCACAATGAGTTACTGGAACAAAAAAATTTTTTGTCTCCAAGTCTTACGGTTTAGGAGTTTTCCAGAGATCAAGGTCCAAAAAGGACTCTCTACGACAAACCGCTATTAAAAATGTTGGGGCGCACTTCAGGTGTTACTGTATAAACAATTTCTGATGTATGAATTGAGCAGCGCAAAACGTGACGAAAGAATATTTCTTATGGATATTTGCGGTCGAGTTATTTGTCAGCGAGAAGTATGAAATGCGACATTCTTCATCAGATAAGAGACAGAAGATCGGATTAATTCTAAAACATCAGAAATAAGTATAGTGGCTGCCAAAATTGAGCGTGCACTTTTATTTTTAATTATTGTCCTCGATCATAATAGCTAGAAAAAATGTGAAAAACGATTTGAACAACTGGAAGAGTTTATAATCAGATGAGGCGTATATGAAC